TAGAGATAGTTATGTAACAAAAAATTATCATTGCTTAGCATGCTCAGGGGCGGATCGCGTGCTGCGGTAGTTGTAATTTTGACTTCATTGCGCAGTGCTCAAAACGTAGTCCGCGGCACATCAAGTCAAAATTAGAACTCCTTCGGTGCGCTAACGTCATTTTTTTTTTTGCTGAGTTCTTTTACTTGCGCAACAGGTTGTCGTGAAAGGTAAAATTTCCTTGATGTAGCAGTAGAACAAATTACCCCTCACGACTGAAGATTTATCTGTAACGGTCGAATTGGCCTCGTCTCTGTTAAAGCAAGATGAACGTCTTAATGCAGTGATAGAGTTATTTTGAACAGAACGCAGTGATGAGAATTTGATGTGGAAGTCGTTTTCTTTTCTCTTTTCTGGTTGTATGTTAACCGTTCCTTCATTTTAAGGTCAGAGGTAAGCTTGATGCCAACAGCCTTGCTGTCATGGATTACCAAATGAAAGTATAGGGGTAATTTCAGTGTCCAAAAAGTGGGTTGAGATTTATTTTTTGGGATTGGTAATATCGATAGTGAACGTGCAGAAATAAGCCGATGAATTTCAAGAACAAATGTGAAAATATTTCCCATAAGTAGTGCTACATTCTCAACAACATAAATGGTTATTGCCATCAGAAAAAAATTTAAATTCCTAGTTTTTCCATATACAGTATTGTTAAGGAATTAAAGCACATGTGTTTTTTAGATGACGAGGGCAAGCGGAAGTTTCGAGTTCTTTCCCTAACGCTTGTTTAAGAGCTTGGTCTGTATTGTTTAGTTTGAAATGCTATAGCCATGGCTTTCCAGTTTTAACGTTGATATCGAAGCACGTCAGAAGTGTTCGAATTCTCCTTTCAGTCGTTGTTCTTGTCAATAAAAAGATCTGTGCTGAGGTTCCATCAGTTTTAAGGATGGTATGGAATGTTTTGCAAAGAATCAATTACAGAAAAGAATCAAGATCTGTCTGTAAAATACGTTGAGAGAATATCATTAGCATTTAGACATGTTGCGGATAGCTTTATTGTGTACTTCTTGTGGGATTTGCAGGAGGTGGATCGCTACAGAACAGCAATGAGAAAGATGGCAGCTGATCTCCCGCATGTGCGAGAGAATTGCAAACGTTTAGAGGTGATAAGGTTTTGAGTATTAGGAATGGTCTTGTTTTCTAGTAAGATGAGTTGATAATTTCAACTCCTTGTTTGCACAAGTCCAACCCAGCGAAAACGTTGTTTTCATTTCAACCACTTATTTATTCTTGAAGGCTTGTGTGCTTCTAGGTTGCGATAAATTTTAAATTATCAATGGGCGATCAGGTTGAGAGAGGAAATCCCCGAATGTAGGCCTTCATTTATTCTCAAGGCGATATATCTCGAGCGCCTTTTTAAATCACTTTCGAGGTTGGCGAGTTTTGCTCGTGCGCACAACTTATGGAACAGGTAAGTCAAGAAGCCTAGCTTGAATAAACTGCGCTGTACAGCGGCCTTAAGTTTATTTTTAGTTGTAATTGATTCTTTCAGGAAGCCAACAGTAGGCTGAGGAGGGAGTTAGGCCAACATGACGAGATATCCAGGTATAAAAAGAGTTAAGAAAAGCAAGGGCCGAGATCATGTGATGAGAACATTACCTCTCTAAATGCTATCAACTCTAAAACATTTAGGTATTAAACCATACGTAATGAAATCCAGAATAAAAGTGGAGGTCCGACCTGTAGGACCAACTCTAAGTCCGCCTTATTTTTAGAGTTTTTATTATTCCACAGCATAATGGACCAAAGCCAAATTCACCTTCAAAGCATTTGGGTCCGCGACGACGGTCACCTAAACTGGATCCTCTGGAGAGAAGATAGCATTTAGAACTTGGCCAGTCTCCGAAACAGATATTCCAACTACATGAAAATGAGAAGAAGAGGCAATACAGCAGGCGGGTTTTGGAAGTGGAGCAAGGGACATTCACACCATTAGTCTTTACAAGCACAGGCGGAATGGCCGATGAATGCAAGAGATTCCATAGCCGCCTCGCTGAGCTACTTGCGTTAAAGAAAGGAGATGACTACGCTACAACCATATCTTGGATAAGGGCGAAAGTATCCTTTGCCATCCTACGATCAGCCTTGCTGTGTCTCAGAGGAACCAGGAGCAAGAGAAGAGCAGCCAATATATCTGACATTGACATTACATCGGAAAGTGCGCAAGCCAGAATTTAAGTAGTGACTCTTTATCAGTTTGAACTATTATTTTTGGATAGTTTTTATTTCTTTATTAACTTTTTGATGCTTTTTAAAATTGTTATTAGAAGTCTTTAGATAGTCATTTTACGACAATTCTCTTTCGTACACAAGAAGAATGTACAATAGGGTATATATTTTAATATTCAAATTCTTGAATCTGTGAATAGTCTATTTTTTTTAAATCTATGAATAAAGTTTTGTTATTATTAAAAAAATAAAAAAAATAAAAAAAATAATATTATTAATATTATTATTATTATCATTATTATTATTATTACACAAAATGTGTGAGAACAAAACAGCGGCAGAGGTGTAGCCGTGGCCCCTCTAAAAATAACATATTTTAGATCAGAATTCAGCTTTTATTCAAGTTAAAAAAAAAAGGTTTCTGAACACGATGAAAGAAAACGCCAAGGACAGAACAACGATCAACGAAATGGTTCTTTCAGGGAATTATATTCTACGTTGAGCATATCCGATATTTTATAGGCGACCTTAGATCTTCGGTTACTTAGACTATGAGAGACATGAGAGAATGTGCAAACTTCCGTAAGTTTAGAGAGAGGTGTTTTTTTAGTCTTGTTACGAGCGTGGGACAAAAAAAAATTCTGAGTCCCCATGGGGAATCGAGCCTCAGACCTTCGGATTCCGCGCTCCGATTCTCTACTACTGAGCCACAGAGACTCCACGGTGAGCGAGGTCCATTACGAAGCTCATATGACACGCGTCCTGTATATTACTAGGATCAGCAAGGATAGAAATAAAAAAGACGGTAGATTTTAAGCTCGGTAAAGAAAATCATATGTGTGCATTGCGGTTGAAGAAACGAATAAAGAATCGATCCTCGCAGTTATGAACACTTCTGAACTAGTAGTTGAAATAAGACCTGAAAAAAATTTGCGAGAATCTAAACGGCGCGGGTCGCGGGTCGTGGGTCGCGGGTAGCGGGTCACAGGTCACGGGTAAATTGTCGCGGATCGTGGGTAAACTGTCGCGGGTCCCGAAAATTGTCGCTGGTCCAGGAAGATGAACTCTCCTAAATGTAACGATTCTCCCACGAACGGCTGCTTTGATGCGAACCATATTCCTTGTGCAAATACATTTATACACTAGCACTATCTCAACTAACTTTCTAAATTTTTCACTCTTGGAAGTTCCTGGCTCTGAAATCCTCGCCGATTTCTCGATGAACATCATGTAATTTTCTTCAAAATCGTTTGTTAAGTTTTGCATGCTTTTGTATGGCTAACCTACCACCAGCGGGCTTCCAAAAATGAAATAGTTTTAAAGTTCAGTTCATAACTGCTCTAAGTTCATCTGTGGTATTCCGGTTTTACTTTTGACGATTTTTTTTCGGTTTTATTTATTTACTTATTTTTATTTTGACGTTCATAGCTGGCATAAAACAACACTGGCACACTTTTTCCAAAAATATAGGTTGTATCATGCAATCAATCAAGCTACGTGCGAAATGTTGCGGGTCCAGAAAAATAGAGTTTAGAAAACGAGCTATTCCAAATAATGTATAAATGTGAACGCACTAGTTTTATCCTGCTGAGGTTTAAAAATCCCAATCTTTTATCCAGTCCTTTAAATAGTATTTTGCATGCGCGCCTTTCTCCCTACCAGGCTACCTGTGGAGAGTGCCTTGATTGCACAAACTTCAATCGGTTCTAGATTTCATTGATACGTGTTAGTGTCGAAATTCGGGTTGTTAAAAAGCTCCGAATCGTTAGACCTTTGTCCGTTCGTCGTTTTAAGCTGTTGTCTACTTTTCGTGGTATCGTTCAGGCTTATTTTACATTGATCACCCGAGCCAAGCATCGCTGTTTTAGCTGAAAGAAACGATAAAGCCGGAGATAATTTTCCTACAAAAACCACGTGGGGTTTACGCTGTCTGTCTGGAAATAGTTATATTTATTTTTCTAAGTGAAAGTCACGTCACAGACGCCGGTGAGAACCGTCTAATGTATATTTTCGAAAAAACCCGTCATATCTACATTTTTTGTGATAGAGAAGACATTGAGTAATAGTTCTAGTTTTGGAAAAGATATACGAAAGTTCAAAGACACAGGGTAGACATAGACAATTGGCAATAGTGAACGCTTAAACGCTGTAAATGTATTACCTTTTTATTGTTCTTAAAATGAATTTATCACTTAATAATTGCATAAATTATAGATTTTTCATAGAAAAATCACAAGATTTCGGGTAATATTTGGGATCAATTAGCACAAGTGAACTGTTCAAAGGCTAACAAAATTACACGAGCCCGTAAGGCGAGTGAAATTTGTCGTTTTTGGAAAATATATGAGTGCTGATTTAACCCAAATTTGTACGAGAAAAAACGTGATTATCTGTGAATGTGCATGTAAAAATTAGACTCTGTTTTCCTCTTAGTCGTGATTATTTCGTGTCATGTCTTACTGGCTCGGCCGCTTGCCTTTGTGCTGTTGCCGGAGTATTCAGGGTTTCCCAGCAAGAAGTTAGTCTTTTATCCCTAATCGAGCAGAATTTTTTTAACTTGGCATCCAAATGCTTAGATTATAGCCATTCTTACTGAAGATTCAAATGAATACTTTGGGTACTAATCAAAAAAAAAAGTTCCTGATTTTGTTCACTGTTCAGGAGAACTGTGATGATCGGTTTATTAATAAAAACCACCAACAGTCCTCTTCCTCTCCTACCTTTCACACAACGGAAAAAAGGAATACAACTATACAATACAACTATAACAAAGTGAAAAATACATTTGCCTAATTGACATCACCAAAAATGTTTCGTTTCGTAAGAGGGAATTTGAACTAAATCACAAACAAAGGACATTGTCTTTCCTGGAGCCCGACGTCCAATGCCCGAATATACACTAGCTGCGTTCAAATTACTCTGTGTTCTTGTTATTTTACTAATATGCTAGCGCGAGCTAACTTTATGAAATCCAGCCTATTACTTACAAAATGTTTACATTTTCAATTTGAGAATGTCAAATCAAAATTTGCTTTTTTAGTCTGTTTGCTTATTTGTTTTCTTTGTCACTTCATAAGCTGTTGAAGAAACTTCCTTTCGGAAAATGCGGGGCAACGACCCGAGGGGATGTTTAACCTTACGATTAACCTCGGTTCTCCTTTCTGGATCTTTATAGCTGCTTAAGGTAAACTTCAATGACCAGGACAACTTCGCCTCTGCTAACACAGACATAAGGCAAGGTTGTTAAACTGAAAATCATCTATCCCAAAAATGACGCAAACTATTTTTCACTTCAGCGAACCAATGAAGTTGTCTAAATTGTATTCTGTTTCATACTGTTCCTCGTCCCATAGCTCTCCCAAATTTTCAATCATAGTTTTGAGCGAAGTCTTCCCAGGTGCATTTGACTGTTGTGCGCTTGGTTTTTCTCTCTTCTTTTCTTGGTCAACTGGAAAGAGATCCAGGAGTTGTCCAGTATCCATGGTCAATAGGCTTGAGCTGTCTTGCGAGATCACTGTGTTGGCGATGTTCAGTTGACACTTCTGGAGTCTGACAGAAAAAAAAAATTCCGACTTGAAGACTCAATTTATAAAATACCTACGTGTATAGTATGTTATTACTTGACAATTAGGTTTAGAAACGAGCGGACAATGAGAATGTCTTTCGTAAGTTTGAGAACAAAGGAAGACGCGAAGGAGGTGTTGACTGTTCTATCCGCCTTGGGTAAATAGGAAAGCTGACGTACAAGGTGTTGTTAAGAACTGGATCATCGGAAAACGCAATTCATGAGTTTTTATTGGCCATCATGAGTTATGAGCCATCATGCGCGCGCATGAAGACGAGTTAAACCGGAAGTGGTTTTATACATTGTAACATTCCGTTTTTCTTACAAAATAAAGTTGGGAAGATTTATTTATAGTTTGGGGCATTTTTGATAAAACGGTCAATCTACTCGCCCTTGTTGGATATGAGATGATTATCACCAAAGAGGCCCGTCATCTCATATCCAACGCGCGCTCGTGGAATAATTGTATATTAGACGATATTCCTTCATAAACAAACTTTTATTGCTGCGTCAATGGGCAAGTGAGACACTTAAATTTTTTAAAAATTTTTTTTATTTTGAAACACAAAAATGTGGAAAAACGTTTGAGAAGCTGAATTTCCAAGCGTCACCCACCGTCGGAACAAACTTTGCTAAGAGCATCGAGCGTTAATGTTAGTCCTATATCAGGATGTCGCAATGGCATAAAGAAGGAGGCTTCTCGTCGAGAGTGTAACCTCAAAAAAAAGCCTAATTACACTGTGCTGTATGATTCAAATAGTGCTGCTTTAAAGCCTACCCCATAATCTTTTCCTCGAGTGTTCCCCGTGTAATTAACCTGTACACGTTTACAACCTTCTTCTGTCCAATACGACGAGCTCGGTCCATGGCCTAAAAAGATGATCGAAGCAATCAAGAAAAGGCAACTGATCGCATCTACCTAAACAAGGCTTGAGCAAAGTTGGTAAAAATCGGAATAAACAGTGGGGAGGGGAAAGGTTCAAAAGGTTGATGGTTACGTACTTGTAGGTCCTTCGTTGGATTCCAGTCGTGCTCCACGAAGATGACCGTGTCGGCACCAGTCAAATTCAATCCCAGTCCCTCAACATGTGTCGTCAACAATAGAATGTCGATTGATGGATCGTTGTTAAATCTAAGGATAAAAAATAGTCTCTCAGTAACAGAAGAGCTGTCATACGTCGCGTTTATTATCCCAAAAAAGTGTTGAAAGCAGGAAATCGTTACCAGTCGGCCCATTCAGGGTGCAGTAAAGAAACCTGGCGATGATTTGTTCGTGGAGAAGCCATCGGTTCCTCCCTTTGTTCCGCGAGATATTAGACCAATGACCGGAACCGAAAAATTTCAAAAGAAAGAATTCTCACCTTTGCACGAGCGAGTAACGCGAGCCTGCAGGCGTACTTCCATCATCATCTGAATATTAATGTGAAGATTTAGAATCTTTACCGGCCATTCCGACAATTCACTTCGTATTAAATGAAGAAAATTTGATAAAATGATACTTTGTCCTTGCAACACATCGTACAAATATAAACTGTTTTTAACGTGTTCGATCACCACAGCAACAACATAAGACGCAGCGGCGAGGTACTACCCACGAACAAGTACATACAGAGTCTTGTTCTGGTTAATTGTCAAATAAGCAAACCAAAGACGACTGCAGCAACATCAATTAGCGTGGTAAAAAATAACATCATTTGAACAAAATAACAAAAAGATTGCTTTTACTCAAGAAGGTCATTTTCAACGAAGTCAAACATGCTCTTTAACTGACAAAACAACAACACCCAGTGTTGGGACACAACCGGGTCAGAAGACAGATCACTGGAGCCTGGGGATGAGGAGCCAACTCCTATCCCACAATCCATCAGTAGCTGCCTGTAGATCAGTTTGTAGACATAAACAGAGAATTAGTTCAACTAGAATTTAAATAACCTGAGGCGTACATCATATAAAATTATTTCAACAATCAGTTAAAAGCCAATAGATGTCATGACAAGGGAATAATCGTGATAGAAAAAAATGGCCTCATTTTTCAACTCTGGGCAAAGTATGTTGCTATCAGGGTGATAGAATGCGCAGTTGTTTTGTTTTGTTTTATTTTATGGACTGGTAACAAGAAAAGGATGAAAAGAGAGAAGGCCTAACATTGGTGTGGAATTTTATGAATTTCATTCAAGTAAGAAACCGCCATTTTGAAGAACCTCAGAAATCAATGGTACTCTGGTGGTGCTAGTCTAAAAAGAGTGTTTGCAAAAGTTCAAAGTTTACCCGTAAGCAAGCTGTCAAGATATAATTTTTACGTCAACCGCACAATGCCTTGAAGTTACACCAACAAATAACCTGACTTACTTGAGAGCAACAAGTTTGGCGGCATGCTGAATGTCCCGGATGGAGACATGTTGTTGATGTAATTGGTCCATAACTTTGGTGTATTCTGGATGATTGGCAGTGAGAACCAAAAGCGGGTGGTTGCATAGCTTGCGCAGGTACTGAAGAGCCTGGGAATTATTTGCACGTCAGACTGAATAAATATTTATCCCGCATAAGGTTATTTGTGGTAATCACTGAGGAAAAACCAGTGTCCATAATCAAATTCATAATTAAACAAGTAAATAAACGTCGTATGCCAGTGAGAGTGAAATCAATATTAACCTGGAAAACGTGAGGATTATCTTTGGTTGGTTTCTCGTTTTTGTTTTCTTCATCGATGTGAGAAACTGTTTCCTCCAAACCTTTCTTGCCCTGAGACTTGGCGAATTCTTTATATAACTGAACCTGTAAAATGAAAAAAATTATTTCTCAGTGAGAGGAACGACCTATTAGAGAGGAATACTCAGAAATTCTCCAAAGAAATACCACTAAATACATGTTGGGGATCCTTGACATTTTCGCACAGCTGCTCGGATATTCATATCCTGTCGACAACTATCAAATATTGTCGAAACTATTATACATCGACCCAGTGGCGCACTTTGATTGTTGGCCATAGCAACAGACTGACCTGTAGCGGACTCGGTTCACAGTAGTAATCTTGGATGATCTTAGGTGGAAGACCTTGCAATACATCCTCTTTCAGGTGCCTCAATAGGAATGGTAAAACCTGACGATGAAGAGCCTCCATAGCCAAGGCCCCTAAGACTGGGACACATGTGTCAATACAGACCACGGTATCACCTCATGTATGACCCACAATGCCATGAAATCTTACTGACAGGCAAACAGTCTACTGCTAGAAGACCTTCATTTTCTACTTTTTCATCAAAATCATCACCGAGGAGGGACAACTCACTTTCTTTTGAGTGTAGTCTTTGGAATGAAAAGGGTGAGACTGAAACCATCTAACATTTCAGTCAAATACACGAAGTATTAACCCTATGACAACCGAAAAGCGGGAGCGTCTTGCAGAGACCACTTTTTTTCTTTTTTTTTTTACTGGTGAGGCACGATAACTATTGTCCTTTTTGTTCAACAAACATTGTCGTGAAAGTACTTGCCAAACTAATTCTGTTTTTTTTTTCAAATGTTCTTACGCTTTTTTTTACTTACGCGCTCTCTAATTGACAGGTGTCAGGTTGTGACAGATACTTGTAAAAATAATGTTTCAAAGTTTGTTTGGAAGCCTTTTAAATTATCGTTACGGTGATGAAAATGTTTCGCTAAGGCATCTCTCTTGAATCTGCATCATCTCTATTTTAACTACCATTTACTCGCTCAAAAACTGTTCAGTTTATGGAAGATCTTGCCTTATTTACAGCCCTAAATCATTCGGGTTCTTTCAGAAAGAATCGTCAAGTTTCAAAAAAATAAATGTTATTTACCGGCTAAGGGTCGGTCCGTATGGTGAAAAACTGTGACCTCGGTCTCGAAAATGCTGCCCTCGGCCTACGGCCTCGGGAAGTATTTTCAAGACCTCGGTTACAGTTTTTCTCCATACGGACCTCCCAGCCGGCAAATAACATATATTTATTATATAAATAGAAACAGATTCCTCTTTTCAATATTGGATCACAGATGACGTCACAACATGTGAGAACAAAACAGGGCAGAGGCGTAGCCGAAGCTTGTCAGAAAATAACAAATTTTAGATCAGAAAGACTTTAATTCAAGTTCAAAAGTAAAAGGTTATTGAACCACCAGCGGCCCAAGCTCACGTCTCGAGAAAAAGCGTCACGTGCTGCGTGACTCGGTGTTAAGTTATGGAGGAACCGTTGAGAATTTAAACACGTTATGAGGAATAGTATGGGGAGCGAGATACGGTAACGACATAAGTATTTTGAAATATGAACATTCTACACGTAAAATCAATAGAAGTTACTCACATCTTGTGTGTCCGTCGTAGTTTCTGGCGATTTCTGCCGTTTTTGCTTGTTTTACCATCGCTGTTATTCTGTTATAAGACGAAGATGACAAACAATTCAACCACTGCTCCCATCTTCTTCAGCTCATTCCTCAGCTTGTGGCCAAAATATCCTCTTCCTCCGGTCACAATAATTTTTTTTTCCTTGGAACATACCAACATCCATTCACAGATTTACTTCCTAAAGATTTTCGTTCCCGCTTTGACAAACGAGCCTGCATTCAACCAGCTGCAACGTACCTTGGCCACGGGCTACAAAACCAGACAGTGTGGTGTAATAGTCATATCTTATAACCTGATAGGAGGTTCTTCTTTCTTCCAATGCTATCACGTGATAGTGAATGAACCAATTGAAATAATTCATTAAACCGAAAGTGATAGACGAATGCGGAAATCGACGTGAAATACCACTAATACTAATGTTTGGCGAGGTGTTTCACTAGTTTATTTTCAAATAAGTAATAGTTTCAGCTCCTATGAAGTGATTTCAGATCATCAGCGAACTGTAGCTCCAGATTGACACTGAAGGGATTAGATACAAGACCTTCACTTACAGTAACATACCAACGAAGTCTTGGTAAGCCAACTCGTGTTGACTTCTGATTCATGATGCCTAGAATTCTTACTGAAATGAACAATTTTGGTAAATACCTGAGAGCAGCCCATCACCTCAAATTTCAAACGCCTTTTCTAAGACGAGCAGTAGACTGAAGCATAAATACAAATCGAATAACATTGCTTTGATCTTTAAGGGTATACTAGGGTATTCACAGATGTCCCTCGCCAAAAATTTTGTAGTAAGGCAGATACAGTACCGCTCACGTATACTTTAACCGAAAAACGCGAATTAATCGCGCCAAAAATCGCATGCAATTGCGAATAAAAAAAATCGTGCGCGTCAAAAAATCGCACGTGCTAGTATGTATGAGGCAGTTCTTTTGTTTTACTATTGTTGGCGGTTTATGGTTTTAAAGAATAGGCTACAATTCAAGAGCACTAAAATACTACACGGCTACCAACGACAAGCAAACTTGTTCGTTGCAGTCGCCGTTCGAACCGACCTTCCCAAAGTTCTATTACCAATGCGACTTCGTAATCGGAATATATATATGATTTATCATTTTCCAACGGAATTCTTTTATCAAAATAGCTATTTCTCACTTCGTTTATAAAAACATCCGTCGTAACTACTTGGGAATTAGTTCAAAATAAATCTATTCTCAGTGTATTGTAAATTGGTAGAATCAGCTAAGGCGCCCGTTTGTAACAAGTTGTCGCATTCTGAATGCAAACCCACGCACGAATGCTTATTTCATAGCTTTTGTCATCGGTGAACATGCTGTTCTCAAAAACTGGTTCATTCATCTCGCCATTTTTACAAAAACTGTGTTACAGTATGATTACCTGTCACGACTACGTCTTGTTTTGACTCGTATGCAAATTTTTTTTTTATGAAAAACCGGATTCACTTTTTGTTTCGTTATTTGTCGAATCATCGATCAATGTTCACCAAATTGCTCGAAAAAATGGAATGGAAAAATTAAGTGCAGGATACACGTAGTTCAAGTTTGTTTGAGACTCGCCGGCGCGTGCAATGAAACTGTTTACATTCCGGTGCGTAAATACTGATGCGGGCGCCGATTGCAATGAATAAAACAGAATACCATTCACATTCTTAAAAAGTAAATTTTCTTTCTGATCCTAACCGAAGATGATCGAGGTAGGTTTGAAGTTTCGAAGAAATCATGACCTGCGATGCAAACACCAAATTGTTTACATTCCGCTAGGTAAACATCTTAGGGAGCGCTGATTAAGTGAATAAATTGATAAGCATATTAGTGAGTATTTGTTTCGTTACTCGCTCAATGAAACTCATGTTTCGGTGCCTTAAGTTACTGACATTTTCCTTCCCAGCTGATTCATCAACAACTCAAATCAAGCAACTCTACTGCTACTGCTCGTTATCCAACAAATTCGCGAAGCGATGCGACATGCGTGAGTGTAACGTGATAGCCTTTTTCAGTATGTAAATTTTCCGTTGTCTGCTCGCCGCTTTTTCAAACCTAGAAGTCCTTTGTTTCATGCAACAATGAAATACAAAATACATGAATCGCGCATTTTTTTCGACCGTGCGCGCAAAAAAATCGTATATACGCGTCTGACTACCCTGGGTGAGAGCGTATGGAATTCGTCTGCGCTGTTAAAGTATACGCGAGCGGCACTGTACATTTTGTAGTCTGACCAAATTTAGGAGTGCCTATTTATTTCAGATTTCATGACAAAAATCTGGTGATTACATATTGATAAATAGTAATAATGATAGAACCATATGATAGCTTTAAATAACTATTTACAGGAATCGCATGTACAATTATTTGTTCAAACCCTGCGTGTAGTCGCAAAACAATTCGCTAAATTTTAAGCACTTTTACCTCTTTTTAGCACTGAAGTACATGTACGTCTCCTCTGCATTGTTGACTGAAAAGTTCAGTTCATTTCGCTAATCAGAAGGAATAATTTTTTCATGGATATATTTCGTCAATTAAATTTCACTTGATCAAAAAGGCAAATGAATATGATTACTCATCTGTACCATGATATGCCAGCAACAGTTATTTGAAGTTGTCATTTAATATGGTAGTTTACAGTTAGTAATGTAAGACATTTTGAGTGAATAAGTAATGGAAGTAATTCCTGTTTTTTTGCATTTTTATTTTAGCAACTTCCAGTTCAACATTTAAGGTTCCTGTGATGTCGAGACAATTAAAGGTAGGATATCAAACAACTGCTTTTGAAAATCACAGCTGCAACCAAGTTGTTTACTTGTACTTTGGTGTTATTTCATTTTAAGGAAACTTCACTCTTATCAGTGCATCCCTGCCAACTCTCTCACTTCAGGAACAAATTACATGCCTGCAGATACAAAACTTTATGATTATATAATACTGGTATTTGCCAAGTAGGAGATTGATATGGAAAAAAAGTTTTAAGAGAATAAAATAATTTACACAGTGAATTTTCATTATTTCTATTACTTTAACTGAATTTCCTAAATTACAAAAATCTTGTGTTTACAGAACAACACTAGGGAAAGGAAACTGAGAGTAACCCTTCTGAGTGCTGGATGGAGAACGTCAAGCAATGGAGACTTGACAACCATCAACAGAGAGCTGGCAATACAGATGGCTAAACATCCCAATGTGGAAGTCAGTGTCTTCTTACCTCAGTGTAGTGAAGAGGACAAGAAAGATGCTGATAGTTACAATGTTAAACTCATTGAAGCAGTTAAACTGCCTGGTTTAAAACCAGTTCTTTGGCTAGCCTCTGTACCTGATGGCCATGCTATGGATTGTGTAGTAGGACATGGAGTAGCTCTTGGTCAGCAAATTCCACTTATAAAGAAAAATCCAAATTACAGGCATTGCAAATGGATTCAAGTTGTCCATACTGCCCCTGAAGAAATTGGCATGTACAAAAGCATTTCTGAAGGTCAACAAATGCAGCAAACAGAAATAGAACTATGTGAAATGGCTGATCAAGTTGTAACAATTGGCCCCAAGCTAACTGATGCATATAAACACCAACTCAGAAAACAAGATGTTTTTAACCTGACGCCAAGTATTTTCACTGAATTTTCAGATGTGCAGCAAGCTAGTGATGAAAGAAGAAAATTTTGTGTCTTGGTAACTGAGAGTGGTGATAGTGAAGATTTTGATGTCAAAGGATATGGCATAGCAGCAAAAGCTATTGCTAACCTGAAGGGTGAACCTTACCAACTCAAGTTTGCCCCCAAACAGGGAGGAAAGGAAGATGAATTAAAACACAAGTTACTTCAGTGTGGTATTGATCCTAATCAGCTAATTATCTGCAGCTTTGATGAAAACAGGAAAACGTCAGCCAACTTATTCTCTATGGTGGATATTGCTATATTGCCCTCAAAAACTGAGGGATTTGGGTTGAGCGCTCTTAAAGCCATATCTGCTGGTCTTCCAGTACTTGTCAGTGGTAACTCAGGAATTGCAGAAGCCTTAAGGGAGGTGCCTAATGGGTCATACCATATAGTGGATTCAGAGGATCCTGCAGACTGGGCCAGAGCAATAAAGGCTGTGCGTAACAAAAAAAGGAATGTACGACTTGCAGAGGCTAAGATTCTTCGTGAACACTATTTGCAGCAGTTCAGCTGGGAGGAGTCTTGTGATGTCCTTGTTAAAAAGATGTTCCATCTTGCATTTGGTAAGTTTTCTCATCTTGCATCAGGATTGCAGAAGTTTTAATCCAGTTTGAAATAATGACAAAGCTCACGTGTTTGTGTTAAATATTCAATTTACAGGTTAGCATTTGTTTCTAAATGCAATAGGGCAGTAGTCTTATGGAATGTTACAAGTTTACATGTAGGAAAACCGGTAATCCAAGGCTATAAGTTGATGCTAATGGCCATTGTTGTTAAGGGCCATTCCATTTTAGAACTGCTTGAATGGTGAAATTTAAAATAAATATTTTATATCTAGCCCAATGATGGATTTTTAGAGTGAGGAGACCCTAAATTGTTTAAAAAAGAATAATCTGAAAGTTGATTTTGCGGGAAATGGCAAAGAGAGGCTGTTTATTTTTGTCTAATGAAAAGTGTGTGAAAATAGGTAGCATTCTGTAAGATTTAAAATGATTTTAGTGAGACATGTTTATTCCCAAAATCTCACCAGGGGAATAAAACTATTTGAACTCTATACAAAAGTGAACTTGCTGATAAGATTTTTTTCAAAATGGATGTTTAAAAGAGAGCAAGTAATAATTCTATTACAGACATTATGTAATGGCCACACCAAAAACCCAATTTATTTTGTTTTCTCTGACAAAAAAAACCAGTCTTTTTGTAATCTTGGCTCCTTTTTTTGTGTTTAGGAGCCCAAACTTGAGTGCTGTAAATTATCAAAGTCCTGAAAAAAAAAACACCAGAAAAAATAAAGGCTACTTTATGTTGCAGACATTATTTTATGGACACAATGTTACGGAAATGACATTATGGACATTATGACTGAATGACTTTTATTTCAGTAAATTCTTTTGGAAGAAATAAATTTTTCATGAAGACCAGTTTGTTCAAATTTATCACATCCAAGTTTACAGTGCCTTTTTAACTAAACACTAATAACAGTAACCAATTAACAACAACTGTACATTAACAGTTGCAACACCATGGTGACATGAGGAGTATAAATTTTCAAAAAGTTTAAGTCCATTTGTGAAACAAGTTTACTTTTATGTTAATAGTCAGTACCTTCTTTTAAAATATCTGAAGATAACAAATTAAAAAATGTTTCAGAAATGTAGCTTAAAACAAGCTGCAATACTTCAACTTTCAAAGGTCATTGCACTGATAATGACTGTCCTTAAATAACTACAGAGAAAATTGTCAATTCAGGCAGTTCAGTGCAGTGTAACTTTCCAAAATAGTGTCAAGTGGCTTATTAAGAATAGTACTCTGACAAGGAGTTTAGTAATCCATTAGTTCAAAAATTAAAGCAATGTTTAACTACTGCAATCTGCAGTTAGTTTGACTAGTTATTTGAAAACTTTTTCTTTTTGAAAATATTTAAACAGCCTCTCAATATATGAAAGACTTGGAACACTGAAAGGTCCAGTGCCTTTTAGCTCTATGGAGCCATAGAAGAATTCTCTTGTGGACAATATTAATATTTAAACCTCATTATCAGTAACACTGAGGGCTCTTCCAATGTAAAACTTAGTCTCATGCTAGAAATCTAATCTGCACTGTATCTCAGAAAGCGAGAACCAAAAGACAGCAGAAACACTAGTTAGAGCTTGCCCAATAAAACTGAATTGTAAGGAGCATGCTCTATATGGGATACTCCACAGGCCAGTCACATGTACACACAAACTGTAGTATTAATGTTATAGTTATCAGTACAACCAGAAAAGAGAATTAACTTGTAATTGAGCCTGATTAAGAATACATTTTTCAGTTCTGACAAAATCAGTTATCAAAAGTTCATAAATAAATGGGAACATTCCCTTATTCTTAGTGGTGTAGAAAAAAGTTTCCCGGTGTAGTGTCCATAACAAAAATTGTGTAATGTCCAATAACAGCAAGTTTTTACCACAAGCTCAAAATCTAACCACTGAATAAAGGATACAACCAGATTTTAAAGAGCTTTGAAGTGGCTTTGTTCTTATTATAATTAAATGATTTTTGTGTGAATAGTCAATTCACAGGAAAACAAGTGTCATGTGAACACATTAAATTGTAGGTTGATTTTTTTTGTAATGTCCATAACAGAGTTTCACACAAAAATATTGGCAGCCTGAAGTTTCTTCCCTGCTAATTAATCAATTACCCTGTGAAGAATGTTTGAACCTATTGCTTAGGATTTGAACATATTATAAATTCAAAACTGTGCAAAATAAGTTTGTGAAGGAAATTGGTTTCCAAAAATTGGTCTCTAAATATAATGTCCATAACACAGAATTGCCCTTAACTCTTTAACTCCTGGATCAAATTTGTAAATCTCCTTACTGTCAACCATACAATTCTTATTATGTTAGTTCAGAGAATTAAGAACTGGATCAACCAATTATCCCTAAATTGATATTTTTCTTTATTCTCATCACTTATCTGGTTGATATTGTATTGGTTCAATTGGAAGATTGCTGTGCAATTTGCTATGAAGGAACACTGGTGTAGAGGCCCTCTGAATATGAGGACCTGCAAGAAGATTGTCATCCAATGTGTTTGAAGTTTGAAGTGATATTAATGGTTCAAGTTGGTTTGAAGTACAATTTTAACTTCATTTCATCACATATTCCATCTGCATTGTCCAACCCCACTGAAAAAAATTCACATGGAACCAAATGCAACTGATAGTGAACTTTGCATGCAATTCTCCTGTGTCGCTTGTCAATTCCTTGTAAACAACCTGCATTTATCACATATTTCACACACAGAGGGCAAAGTCCAGATAGGCAACAACCAATCAAGGAGCCCTCTTTGAAATATTATCCTTTTCTCTTGGTTGTTGTATCTTCACTTATTCGAGATTGCAATATCTTTGGTTAGGGTCTACTGGAGATACAACAGAGTTTCAGTTTGCTTTTCATGGTAAAATTAGGTGGAATTCTATTTTTGGAGCCACTAACTGTAAATGAATAAGTTTGATTTTCTCTCTGTTAGAGGAATGGCAGTAAGCGTGGTCTCTTTCGCAACTGTTATTTGGTCTTGTCACACAACATGCTCTCTCTTAAACAGGGAATAGAGGGTGCTGTGTGACAAGACCAAACAACAGTTGTGAAGGAGACAGAAGTAAGCATGGCACTGATACATTTTACTTTGGCTTAGAAGAGACCAATAGACCATAAAATACCTGCATGACTTCAATTAAATTACCATGGGTTTATATTTTCTTTCTCTTAAGGTGAAGTAATGCAATATTTTTGTTCCTCTAAAAGTTATAAATGCTCTTTTTCTGTTACATAAATGAAAACATTAGATACACAAAGTGTCCCACCTCGACCCACCCAGCCAAAAAAAATAACTCTTACATGTTAGACATGGCTATGTTTCACCCTAGCTACGAGTTCCATGTTTGATACTGTAATCTTTTAGATAAATCTGAGTTTTGATTCTACCATGAAATGAGATAAAGATGCAAATTAAAGAAACTGCAGCAATGTATTTACTGTGTGTTGTAATCTATTCATTGGTAACAAGCTCTCTGTTTGATTTCTGTTGTCTCAATATAATGCTCTTACATTGTAATGGTTAAATAGGTAAGAGGTGAAGAAACCTTGTTATATTAGGATTAAATTCAATATTACAATTTTCCAGGTGGTAAAATGAATATTAAGGTTGATGTGGCTTACTTGAAACCTGAAGAACAGAATATGCAGACAGTCATTTTGGCAACACCTGGGTCTGTCAGATGCCAAGAGGTTCAGCAGCCTAGGGCATCTGCCACATCAGCTGCATCTGGAAGTATGTCTGATCCACAGACAGAAGAACTCAAGGCTCATAAAGAGAAAATCTTTCTATCAATTATTACAGATTCTTTCCACACCACAAAGCCACAGTCCATTGAAGAGTGGAATTGGTTTAAGGAATTCACAAAAGAAATGAAGGTTGCCATTACTGGTGTCTGTGAAGGAAGTTTGGTGATAACCGTGAAGTGTGAATCTCTAATGATCTTGGAGGACTTGTGGACAGATTACTTATCTGGTCGTCTTGGTGAAGTGGTTCAGAATTGTTTTGTGACTGAAAAGATCCTGAAGGAACTGAACTTGGCTGAGCTGAGGCTGAAGACAACATTAGACATAGAAGAGTACAATGCATGCAAAATGTTCTTTGAGAAAGATGCTCTTAGAGGTTGGTAGAAAGAATGTAACAAGGCCTGGTCCTACTATGAATTATTTGTCAAGGGCTTTGAATGAAATCCATCAGTCTTTCAACATGGAGTATAGTAGGGTAACTTGTCATGGAGGGATGGGTCCAGTTTTTTTATCATGATTGATCAAACTTGTCTCATGAACTCTTGCTGACTTCAGTATGTAAACCATGCTGATGCAAGAAGTAATTTGTTTTGAAGACATTTCACTAAAGGTTTTCTTCTTCTTAAACATCTCTCCCCAGTAACCTGTTATCTTTTCTAATAAGACATATAGCTCAATATTTTCCTCCCTATAGAGTTGTATTTGTCTTTCAGTAATTTATTAGATTACATTATTTATTAGATTAAAAGATTAATCAAAGATCAATTGGCAAGCTTTTTGTTGCAAAGGGTTATGAAAGAAAATTTAACTAGTTTTTGCATGTTGGGTGTTTTTAAAAAAAGTTTGAGGTATGTTTATGGTTTAAAATGTTTGTCTTCTTGTAAATCTGATTTTAGTTGCTTTATCCTCTGAATTCCACTCCACAAGTTCAACCAGTGAAAGTCCACAAAAAAAAGAACAATGGGAAAAAAGTGAACAGAAGACAAAGATTATGGAGACAGTGGAATTGGAAGGTGAAAAGGAAACTAAAAAAACTTGTATTTAGTTATTAAGGAAAGTTGATGTGAACAGTAATAACAATAATTATGTGATAATAATGTGGCATCAATGAATTAATATAATTGTACACATTTCTACTTACTGCAAAAAAACATCTGAAGAGAGGCTGTGAATGCTAATCTCTCTCTACCTCTTTTACCCTCAGGTACTTCACCCCTCACTGTAGTACCCACCACTGGTCATGGAAAAGAACTAGAAGAGCCTTGGGGAAGGAAAGGTAAACAGGATACTGAGTTTGAACTTTTTTTTTTTAGTTAATGTAATTTAAACATGGTGCTCATTGTGTTCAGATATTAAGCCAAGTGGAAAGTTGTATTCTATTGTAAGCTATTGACTTTTCTGACCAATTATCAAATTGATAAGCCAATGGTTTGTTTCTTGGCCACTGACCTCAGTACTGTTCTATGAGACCGTATGAGAAAATTTATCAAATATGATCTGCTGTGTGAAAAAAATAAAATTGAGAAGCTAATGTTAATGGATGTGGAGGAGAAGAGTAACTAGAACAGCTACAAGAAAATTGAAGTTGGGTTCTGTACAGAAAGTGCGCCGAGGGATGCTCGTACAAATGCATTCTTTGACCTGGTCACATGGCCAGGCATCTGTAGAGTGGGGATATTCTGTCAACAAAGAAATTGAAGTAGAGAACTTGTTAGAGCACTCTTTGGTAGCTTAACGTACCATTTGTGATTACGTAGAGGCAGTTGGTGGAGTTCTCAGGTTTGCAGAGAGAGATCATGAATCGAAGGCTCCAGTTTAGATAAAACTACTTGTCGCAATGATAACTACTTATGTGACGAACGTTTGAAGAATCATTGCAGCGCTATGATATTTAATTGATACAAAGTATGACAAAAAAAATTTCATATTAGATGAAGCTAATGATTCCAGTCCCTGTGTGGGAGATGAGCCCTCCAAACACAATAAATACATAGGTGTCAAGGGTGTCATGGTAGCATTCCTGTTGTTAATGTCAAATTTATGGCAAGGCATGAATGCTTAATATCTCTGTTTGCAGCCGTTCCTTCCTCTTCATTTTCCACCACTAATCTTGGAGAAAAAGCTGTAGTCTCTCAGCCCCACTTTATAAAGTCCACTGAAGGTTTACTTTTGGTGAAAAGTTGGTGAAAAGTTGCTTTGAATAGTGATTGTTGTTGTATCCTCCTAATGCATATACTATGCCTTGGATTCGTACAGATAAGATTTACACACTGATCGACCATGTGCTTCTTCTTTTATTACCTACTTCATATATGAGTACATGAAGCCTGTCTGCGCTCAGTACGTCATGTAATACATGACATCCCTCCTTTTCTTGAAGAAAGAAAACAATAGTCCTTAAGACTTAATCAAAACAAAACATGCGAATCTGAAAATTGGACGGAGAGCTGGTAATAACTAATTCGCTTAATTTCAACACGAGATTCACCGGTTCTAAGCAGTCCTTGTATCAAAACAACATTTAACATTTCGAATCAAAGTTCACTGTTTCAAACGAAGTTCAACATTTTAAAACAAAGTCTTTATATCTCCCAGGGAGTCTCCTCTGTCTCTGAGGTCTTCCACCTTTTGGTGTTGCTGGTGGGCTAGGTACTGTTGCTTGATCAACTGCTGCATTCTTACTAGCAGAGGTTGTACCAGATTTGCTTCCTGCACTTGCTTGTGCTAAAGGTGTGAGATGAGTTAGGGGTCTACTGGGAGGTGTTGTAGGCACTACTGGTGTAGATCCACTCATCACTTGATTTGGTACCACGGTAATTTCAGGTGTTGTCGGTACATCGACACTGACAGGTGGTTCTTCCGGATTGTCAGGGCTCACAAACTTCTTGACATGGGATGTATTCCTTGAATACTGCGTTCCACCTGGAGTTTCCACAACAACACTGTTACCGGTCTTGCTAACCACTTGGAATGGTACTGGATTAAATGGCGTGGAAAACTTGTCTCTTTTCTCTTGCCTCACCAGGACTTGATCACCAACTTGAACTTCTGATGGTTTTGCATTCCTGGATTTATCAGCTATTACTTTGGTCTTTGCTTTCACTTCGGCATCTCTATCTCGAGTTTCCAGGTCCAAGTGATGGTCGGCATGTAGCTCTGGTAGCTTTCCTCTCATCTTTCTGTTAAACAATAATTCCGCAGGGCTCTTACCGGTTGTCGCGTGATCAATACCTCGGTATTTAGTCACATATCTTCTTAGCTCCTTCACCCAGTCTAATCCTTCGGCTTGGGCAATGCGGATCCTCTTCATCAGCGATGCATTTTGTCTCTCTACCTCCCCGTTGGCTTGAGGCCATTTTGGTGTGGTCTTGGTGTGAACAATTCCATTCTGCTTACAATATTCCCGGAATTCTTCGGAGCGGAATTGTGGACCATTGTCTGACTTTATGGTCAGAGGAAGGCCATGGCGGCTGAAAATCTCTTCCAGGTTGTCAATTACTTTCTCTGTGACGGTTGACATCATGATGGCGTACTCATAATAACGACTGTAGTAGTCCACAACAACAATGATTGAGTGTCCCGAAGGAAGTGGTCCTAAGAGGTCTATAGCTAGGTTTTGCCAAGGACCTTCTGGTAATGTCGTGGATCTCAATGGCTCAGGTGGGTCTGGGCGAGATACCAGTTGACATCCGTGACAGGACTTGCAGAATTTCTCTGCTGCCTTATCCATACGAGGCCACCACACCTTACTTCTTAAATTTTGCTTTGTTCCCACAATTCCTAGGTGTCCTTCATGGGCTAAGCTGATTGCCTGAGCTCTGAGTTTGTTTGGTAACACAATACGGGTACCTCTCAAGACTAGCTGTCCAATCACACACAGTTCTCCTGCGGCTGGTGCATAGTTTTTGCACTTCTCAAATCTGCCAGTTTTGATTGCTTCTCTCAGGACTTTTAATTCTTCATCTGTTGCAGATGCTTCTTCGACTTCTCTCGTGGTTAATGCTTGGGGAGTGGCACTGATAGCTGCGAATCGGATGTACTCTTCTGCCCCATGTGGATGACTCGTCACTTTGTCTTGCTTAAGCAGGCGGGAAAGAGGATCAGCTATATTATTCTGCCCTGGAGTATATACAATTCGGAAGTCGTAGGGTTGTAACCGTATTGTCCACCGTTCGATGCGGGCACAGGGCTTGGAACGTGGCCCGTAGATGACCTCCAACGGTTTGTGGTCAGTTACCAGATCAAATTTCATGCCATAAATGTATGCATGATACCTCTCACATGCCCAAACGAGAGCGAGGGCTTCCTTTTCGGTCTGGGAGTACTTGCGCTCACACTCTGTCAAGCTGCGGCTTGCATAGCAAATTGGCACCCATGCTTCATTTTGGTTCTGTAGTAACACAGCTCCGAGGCCGACTGGACTGGCATCAGCTATTACTTTGGTTGCTGCGCCTTTGTTAAAATATGCAAGTGTTCCTGCGTCAGCCATGCTCTGTTTCAGAATCTTAAAAGCGGTTTTCTGCTCAGGTCCAAAGTGGAATGGAACAGCCTTTCTGGTCAAGCTCCTTAGTGGCTCAGTGATAGTAGCGAAGTGAGGAATAAACCTGCTGCTATAATTGGCCAATCCCAGGAAGCTTCTTACTTCGCTGACGGTGGCAGGTTCCCTTGTTTCTTGCAAGGCTCTGATTCTTTCTTCTGTTGGGCCAATCCCTTTTTCAGAGAGAAGAATTCCCATGAAAATCACTCTGTCCACATTGAATAGGCATTTGTCAGCATTGAGAGTTAAGCCATGCTGCTTGAGGCGTTCCATTGTCTTATATAGGCGTTGGTCATGAGTTGCCTGATCCGGGCCATGTACTATGATGTCGTCAGATATATTATCGACTCCTTCTATTCCAGCTAAAGCTGTGGATATCTCATGTTGGTACTGCTCACTCGCTGAACACACGCCAAATAATAGACGTTTGTACCTGTACAAGCCTTTGTGCGTCACAAAGGTGGTGATCTGTCGTGACTCTGAATTAAGTTCCAATTGGTGGTATCCCCACTTTAAGTCTAACTTGCTAAAGACTTTGGAACCATTCATATTGTGTAGCAGTTCATCTACAGTTGGTATTGGGTATCTGCCACGTACTATGGCCTTGTTCGCTTGTCTCATATCGATGCAGAGTCGTATGTCACCATCTGCCTTTGGTATGATCACTACTGGATTTACCCATGGTGTAGGCCCGTCTACTTCCTCTATAATATCACAATTCAACAACTCTTGAACCTTCTTTTCTACCTTCTCTTGCAGATTGAAGGAATTCGCCTCAGGGGTTGGGCTACTGGTTTCACTGTTTCGTCTATGTGCAATGTTACTTGCTTGGACTTCAACTTTCCTATCCCACTAAACACTTCAGGGAATTTTTGCTGCAGCGTCTGTTTGCCTTCAGCAATTGTGGCAATGTCAACACCTATTTTCAGCACCCCCAACCTCATTGCGGTGTCTTTGCTTAAGAGTGGTATTCCCTTTCCTTTGATAACCAGGAATTCGGTCTGGACTCTTCCTCTGCCCACTAGTACCTCACATGTGAAGCTACCTTTTACTGGGAGGGGTTTGCTGGATGCATAAGCGTACAATTTCCTGTCAACGGGAGCTGCTTGTGATTTACACTTGATCTTTTTAGCCTTCAGATCTTCCCATGTACATTCATCGATAATGTTATTGGTGGCCCCAGAATCCACCAACATTTCCAATTCTACTCCACCCACAGACAATTTGAGCATATTTGACTGACCTTTATTGGTGACCCTGAATGCATAATCGACTTGCTCCCCATCGGGTTTTTGTTCTTCTTGCACCTGATTGACTCCTGGCTTCTTTGGTTTGGTTTTGCAGACACTAGCAAAGTGACCTTTCTTTTTACATTTTTTACATGTTTGACCTCTGGCAGGGCATTTCGGATCTCCACCAAGGTGACCACTCCACCCACAACGAGGACACTGACTGTCTCTGTTCTTGCTCTCTTTGTTTCTTTGTTGATCTTTTGGTCTCCTAGGTTTTTCATAGACCCTGTGTGCTTCTGTAGTCTGTTCACTCAAGCTAAGCTGAGACATTTGGTGTTCTACACTTTCACACTGTTCTGCAAGCTCTAATGTGCGTGCGAGAGTAAGTTCCTCTCTTTCTTCAAGCAATTTACGTTTGACATAATCTGACCTGCATTTGCATAAAATCGCATCTCTTATCTGATTGTCAAAGTCTGCCCCAAAATTACAGTCTTTCCCTTCTTTTCTCAGTCGGGTTACAAACTGCAAAACGGTCTCACCTGGCTGTTGTTGGAGTCGGTGAAATTTTTGACGCGCAAAAGCGGAGTTAACTTTGGGGAGAAAATAGCCATTCAGTGCTGTTACAGCGGCGGCGTAGTCCGTTGCTTCGCCGGTGTTCGCGAGAGTAGAGAAAATTTCTTGCACATCTTGTCCCGCTAAATGGAGTAGCATAGCTCTTCTTCGTTGTCTGGTTGTTGCATTTGTACCTTCAGTGATAATCAGACCTTTGCCATCGGCAAACAATTCAAAAGATGTGAACCATCGCGTCCAGCGTGGTCCTAACGTGGCAGGTTCCGAGTGACAATCGAACTTAGGAATCCCTTTGGAAGCGCCATTTTCGCTCAAAGACATCTTGTGTCTCACCGAATTATCCTCGTCGCCAATGTTGTATCCTCCTAATGCATATACTATGCCTTGGATTCGTACAGATAAGATTTACACACTGATCGACCATGTGCTTCTTCTTTTATTACCTACTTCATATATGAGTACATGAAGCCTGTCTGCGCTCAGTACGTCATGTAATACATGACAATTGTATATCTGTCAAGGATCAAGAAGAAACTGTTGCAGTTCAATGATAGACGAGAAGAAGCTGTAGCCTCTTAGATTGCGTTACAATTTTAAATTTCGTGGTCATGATCCGTCACACAATTCATTGTCTACCGTCTACCGTCTACCGTCTGTCGTTTGTCGTCTACCGTCTATCGTCTGTGTTTTAGTACATACCGACTTTAATGGTATCGGAAAAATTGACTGTTTGTGGTTTAAATACGTCCACTCCAATTCTTTTCAATCTTGGTAAACTAGGTGGTAGAATGTCCTGACTTAATTCGAACATTATTTGTAGCGTAACTTTGGTTTTTTAGGAAATGTGAAAAAAAGAAAAAACCTGCATAATTTACAGATGTTAAAAATGGTTTTGGAAGGAGGGATCGCGCTATCCACTCAATGTCTGGATAACTTCATATCGGTTTTTTAAAATTTTCTTTAGTTTCTTCAGTATCTTGATATGCTTCTTTGTGTTTTTGACGTGAGGTGAATGTTTTGTATTTCAGGAAAAATGGCCTCAGCAGTGGCCCCATCTTTTCATTCAACAAAAGAGACAATCAATTACGCCCGCTTATGCAGGCTTCTGGTGGATGTCAGTGCACATATCTTAAGAGAGACTTTTGATAAGAGGCGTCCAACAGGAGACCTGCACACAGTTTTGTCAAGTCCTCCAGTTCATGCAGTCTTACAATCACTTCGAAAGAAAAGGATTATTAGTCCTTTACAATGGGGAAAACTATATCCTGCCATCAAATCTGCAGTTTCATCAAAGAATTTCGATATCACTCTACTGATGGTTTTGCTGAGGAATATATGCGGTCTTGTTCGTCCGGCTACCGGCTGGGATACACTTCCTCCCGCTACAGACACAACTATTGAAGCAGATATCGTTCGTATCAAGTGCTACAGAAACACAGTTTATGGTCATGCCAGCCAGGCCTCAGTTGATGACCCAACATTCAATCAATACTGGCAGGACATCCAAGATGCATTGGTGAGACTGGGAGGAGCTGGTTACCAAAGTGCTATTGATGATCTGAAAAAGGAATTCATGGACCCTGATTTGGAAGAACACTACAAAGAGCTTCTTAAACAGTGGGTAGTGGATGAAGTCAGCATCAAAGAAAGACTGGAAGAAATGGCAGAGCACTTTGGTAGAAGCCAGTTAAAGGAAGAAATCGTTAATCCTGCAAGGAAATTTAAAGGAGGAGAAAAAGGTATTGTGTATTAACATTGTTTAAAAAAATTGAAGAGGAAGATTGAAGGGCCTCTCACCAGAGGGTAATAAGCAATTTAACAATCAGACCATTTCAGTTTTATAAAATGCCTACCTTTAAAAATAGCTCAAACTCGGAGAAATATCTCCCACTGGAACTGACCCTTTCCTCTTGGACCCAAAATTGGAAAAAGACCGGGTGTTGTCTTTTCCATGTTTTTTTTTCGGGTGATAAGCGAGTTATTTTTTATTATTTTTTTGTTACTCATACGGGGAGTGAAGAGATTTAATTTTTTTTTTTTTAATAGTTTTTGAAAAATTTACAAATGCAACTTTATTTAATAGTCGCAATAGATTCCCTATAAAGGTTAGTTAGTTGAAATGCGAACAAATTGCACAAGCCTGTAGGGCGAGTGCTATTTGTAGTTTTTGAAAAATTTACAAATGCAACTTTATTTAATAGTTGCAATAGATTCCCTATAAAGGTTAGTTCCGCCAAAAGCTGCAGTAAGTCTTACAGTATTTACCTGGTCAGGTTCGTCGAAAGAAAGAGATGGAAAAAAGCTAAAATTCTCATTGAAGTGGAGATGACAGGGAGCATTCTCTCCCCTAAGTGTCCTCACGCCTTACTTAATCTCCAGCGGAAAAACAAAAACTATGTGTTTTCTGAGTCAAAGATTTTCCTCCCGTACCACAGATTCCTGGATCCCCTCCCGAAATGGGTCGGTTAGTGTCGGTAATCATATGATTTCGAGTACAATTTAAGATAAAAGAGCACGAGTAAATTTTTGAAATGCGAACAAATTGCACAAGCCTGTAGGGCGAGTGCAATTTGTAGTTTTTGAAAAATTTACAAATGCAACTTTATCCCGTATTGAACGAGAAAAATCATGCGATTACTTGTTAATAATGTACTACCAAAATATGACTCTGTTCTCCTCTATAGTTGTTGTTTTTTTCGTGTCATGGCTCACTGATTCGGCCGCTTCCCTTTGCCTTGTGCTGAAGTAGTCGACGTTTTTCCTTAGAATTTGGTTCGAGCTTTTAAATTCACTGTCACGAACAATCGGGTTTTTGTGCTCTTTGTCTGTTAGGTATCGGTCGACAGCAATAATCAGCACACGAAAGATATCACGCTCGTTATCTTCCCCGTCTTTCTTGCGAACTATTGCGTAAAATTCCTCGAGAAGTTTGTTTAGCGCCTCCGATTCATATTTTTCAACGCCCAAAACTTCCAGACTTTTGGCCAGTTGTTTGTGCTTTGTTTTGTATTTATATTTTTGGCATTCTCCATC